AAGCCCAAGGAGGGGTCGCTATGACTTGACAGCAAATAACAACAATAAGAAGTTATAAATGAGATCAGGATGTGGAGAAAACTGCAGGCAGATGCTGACCAGGAGGCTCTAGGGATAAATGTTGGCTCTGAGTCAAATACAAGTGAATGCTTGTGTCCTCCCTGAAGTCAGCAGGGCTGCGGTCTTTAAACTCTAGAAGTGTGTCTGGGGTGTCTGTTAAGTCCCCAGCCTTTCTGAAGCCACCGACCGAGTTTGGGGGACTGAGTGCTGTTTGCTCTGTGGGCTCATGCTGCCCCCTGCTGGCCTTGCCCTGGCACTGCCTCTCCACACATGGGGCAAGCTTGGCAAGAAGGAAGGAGAGGTGGGGCAACTGGGTCAAACTTGGCCAGGGAAGGTGATGTTGCCTTTGGGAGAACATATCTGAAGACCGTGCTAAAATCTGATGTGCTTAGCTTCACAAAATCGCAGATGCATAAGTGCTAGTTTCCTACAAGTGGCCACCACCCCCTTCCCCGACATTAATGAGATAGAGGAAGAGGGACAATAAAATACTCATCTGAAAGCCACCAGCTATGGGGTGGGGACAATATGACATAAATTTTATGACAATCATTTGGTAACCATAACAGCTTCCTTTCTGGAGACATCTGGGATGAAGCAGGGATCTGGCTATGTAAAAGTTACAGGAACAGAGTGAGGTTGGAAGGCCGTGGTGATTCATTTCTACCATCCTTATGTAGGCCTTGGAGAAATGGAGCCAGCTGGAGGATGGAGGCCACTCATGAAGGTCTGGGTGGATGTCTCAGTAGGGAAATGGGCTGCCAGCTTCAGAGCTTCTGAATGAGATTAGTCAGTGCTTGATGCCATGAGTTTACCTAAGGGAACTTGGGGGAGGCTAATGTGGTCTGGGTGGCTTGACAGAGGCTTATTGGAAGACAGAGGCCTGGATCTTCAAGGATGAACCCAGTGAGCCAGGAAAAGAGGTAAAGAGTCCTCTCCTGAGAGGTGTATTGGATCGTCTCTCATGCTACTTCCTGTGACTGGTGTGGCTCTGGTATTGAGGCAACTCAGCAGTGCCTGGTCTAGAAGCTCCCAAAATCTCCTGGAGGCTCACTACTAAAACTGTGGTCCAGAACCATGTGCACCACTTGGGAGCTGGTTAGAAATGCAGAATCTTAGGTCCCACTTCAGACCTGCTTAATCAGAATCTGCACAGTAGCAAGAGCCCCAGAGAATTGCACATTAAAGAGTCAATCAAAGCTTCCAAAGCTTTGGTTTGCAACCTGGAATTCCAGAAGGGCATTTGTAACTATTGAGGTCTGGGTTCCAGCCCCAGAGATGCTGATGTACTTGGTCTGGGTTGCACCGTGTATATCAAATCTTCTCCAGATCCCCAGGTTAAAATGCGCAGCCAAGATGGAAAGTCTGCTTTAAGCACTGTGTTGACACATGGAAGGAGCTCTGGTGGCATAGTTCCTAAGGCATTTGACTGCTAACCAGAAGTCAAACCCACCAGCCACTCCACAGAAGGACGAGGGGGCAATCTATTTCCATAAAGATTTACCACCTCAGAAACCCAATGGGAGTCGCTATGAGTCACAATCGACTCGATGGCAGAGGGTGGGTTGACATATGGAGGTGAGGATATGGAGAAAGCCACTCCAGTAAGTTTTAATGTCTAGGTTTAAAAGGCAATTTTTTTTTTTTTT